CCCTATGTGATAGCAATAAAGTTTCCCCCCCAAAAATGTAAAGTTACAAATAAAAAAGAATTACATATTTTTTTAAAGTCCCCCCCCATATATACATACATGCATGCAAACAGGCGTCGGATGCGCATACGTGTGAAAACGACGATTTTGCCCATTACGCCGCACTATTACATATCGTCGCGAACGTCGGAGTGAGAGCAATAATTGTAGGGCCATCAATCACTGATAACACTAAACTGATGAGCGGTAAAAGCTTTTAAAGCGTCGCCTATGGTCAATTTTGGGCATGGTCATTTTTTGCGATTTTGCGGGTGCGCGCAATTTTAAAGCATGACATGTTTGGTGTCTATTTACCCGACGTGACCCCGCTTTTTATATTTTACCAAAAATATGGGTAATAAATGGGTGTGGTTACTGGGGGTGTGGCCACTAAAGGGTGTGGCCACTGAGGTGTGTGGTCACTGAGGGGCGCTGTAAAGCTTTCTCGCACAGGGCGCCTAAAGGCCTAAGGCCGGCCCTGAGGACAAGTATGTAGTAAGTGAAGTCAAACTGGTCAGACTGAAGTCAAAGCACCTGATCTGCATACAAGTAATACACATTTATAATGCACACAGCAGTGTGACAGGAGGTTTTATTAGAAAAGCAGCAACCTATACCACTGGTTTATTAATGGGCCCTTATTTGTAGTTATATTACCTCTTTAACATGTTTGTGTGAACACAATTGTTTTAGTTGTGACCACTGTAAATATGTACATTCTACATTTTCAAGGACAAGGTCATTGGAAATGTTAAATTATCTTTTCATTTGAAGAATGCCCAGTATCCCAGCAATCAAAGCACTAGTGTTTCCCAAGAATTCCGCCTCTTCAGTGTAAATAAAAGGCTGTGGCCTCAGCATGCATTTCAAAGCTTTGACTGGACTGTGCTGCATACATTTGTTTTAAGAAACTTTTCCATATTGAAATGGCCTAAAACACAATATATGGACAGTTCTGCCATATCAGTAAAAGACTTAAAGTAGAACTATGGGGTAAGTGTTTTTCCCCATAGTTCTCCTAAGGGTCACGGGAGGACATAAACTAGCGTCCTCCCGTCACACAAAGCTCAGTATATTGCGAGCTCCAGCTCGCGGTATACTGAGACGCCGCAGCCGGCGCCCCCTCCCCCGTCCGTTCCGCCACTCAGCGCTGGAGGATCAGAGCAGGGAGGGGGGAATCCCTGCAGGGAGCCGTGACAGTCACGGCTCTCTGCAGGGAGATGATCGAGAAGTGAGCGAGCGACGGTATGTCTTCGCTAACTTCCCGATCTATTGAGCCGACGTGTGACAGTTTCATTGTCACACGTCGGCTCGAACTATGAGGATGAGTGAAAATCATTTACCTCATAGTTCTCCTTTAATATGGTATACAGCCAATTGACCTCCTCTTTTTCGATATTACACGTCCTAGCCAGAGCAGCATCTGCCAGTTACAATTTGTGAAACAGGGAGCAGCCAGGGAAAAGGTAAAGGGCAGAAATTCTACAGCAAGTAGGGGAAATGTAACCAGAAAGAGCAGGAAGGCCACACAGGTCAGCCTTGATGTGTAGCAATAAGATATCAGAAACTGCAACAGTACTTCTCAAGCTGCGAGGAGTACCGTCTGCTAAAGTTTGATTTGCTGTTCACTTTTTTGCAGCCAATGCTATTAAGTGTCAGAACTAACAAAATAAATCCTCCATATATTTTTTAGGCTGCTGGGAATGCCTTGTAGCCAATGGCACTGCTTCTCCCAACAACAGCTGCACCCCTGCCTTTAAATTCCTATGATCTGACAGGAAAAACTAAAGTAGTTCATTTAAAAAAAAAACTATTTGTAAGCTTATAAACTGATATTTTATACAATTGTATTATTTATAAAATCCAAATAGTATGAAAAATATTTAATACAACAGCAGCTTGACACTTGTTGACTGCCCCAGCCGACTGAAGATCAGAGAGAATGAGCAGGTGTGTTCCTCTTCTGAACCTCAGACAGAGGTGAGAGAGGGAGGGAGAGAGTGTGTGTCACCTGAGATCCTGCTATTTAGATCTGCATTCATAGCACAGTGGTTAACAAGCTATGCAGAAGCCCTTGAGTAAACAGAATAGCACTTGCCATAGCTGTTTGGAACGCATTCATATGAGGTGTTTACATGCAATATTTAATATTTGCATGGCTACAGGGAACTAAACAAAATTTAAAATAATAAATATTTCATCTCTTACCTTCCTCTGTAAACAAACTTCATGGGCTCCACAGCCAAAGCTGTTGCTACCACGTCATCACTACTGTGCCTGCGTCCACTGACAACCATCTGGCCATCTACTTTCCCCACGACATACACCAACCGTTCCTGCAAAAACACATTCGTTAACATTAAACAACACATAACAATCGAACAGGAGTCCAGTGTAACTAACTGAATATAAAGTAATGCTAGCTATTGTAAGATCTTCATGATTTTGATGTGTTATATATATATGTATTTATTCTGGCTATATTGTTATATTGCCTTTAATCCGAGCTAGGTAACTGGGGTAATCAAACCTGAGGTGATTTGCTTGGGTTATCAAACAAAAAAAAAACTCATGCACATTTTCTAGGATTGGAGGTGACTAAAAGCAAGTAGGAGGACAGATGTTAATGAAAAGACACAGGTATATTTATTACAGGTATTTATATAGCGCAGACAATTTACGCAGCGCTTTACATTCACATCAGTCCCTGCCCTCAAGGAGCTTACAATCTAAGGTCCCTATCTCACATGCATACAGGGCCAATTTAGACAGGAGCCAATTAACCTTCCAGCATGTCTTTGGAATGCAAGAGGAAACCAGAGTACACGGAGGAAACCCACACAAGCACAGGGAGAACATGCAAACTCCTTGCAGATAGTGTCCTGACTGGGATTTGAACCGGGGACCACCTGTGCTGCAAGGCAGAAGTGCTAACCACTACAAAAAATGATCACTGGAGCATGGCATGGGGGTGTATAAACATCCTGTCTAGAATGAAGATCTGCAAAAACATGCAAGCAATCCGTGTCCTCTGAGTTAAACAGGAGAGGTAACTATTGACCTTGTAACATAGGGCTAGCTGTTTGTGGTTCGGAGTTCATGGCTGAGCAGCCCATGCTTTGGCAGCACTAATTGCTATCAATGGCAAAGTTTGGCAAGTAATGGTTGCAGTCAATCCCTATCCTGAATATCTTGGAAATTGCTGTTTATATAGCAGGTCACACCAGTTAGTTGTACATATTTACTCCATGAAAGGCCTAGGCTCCTATAGAATGAGTGCCCATTCCTCTGTCTCTTGCCTAAGATTCCCAGGCGTTGCATGTGGTCGACATTTATAGCTTTCCTTGGTCCACAAATAACCTTTGCACCTTCTAGTGTTCCTTAGCACATTTTCCTTTCTCCCCGTGTCCCATTCAATTTAATCCATTCATATTTATGTATGCTACTTGTGCAGTTGCAGAGCAGAGCAGATCCAGAGCAGGTGAAAAAACTGCAGCAGGCACTATTTTACTTGCTCTGCATCTGCTCTGGAATGCATCAAAAACGCATCAGAAATGCATGCCAATGCCTGGAAAACACTGAAAGCCCATTTTAAACTTCACTTTTTTTTTTACCAAAAAGAGCCCGGAACGCATCAAAACACGCCTAAAAGACTAGCGTGCGTGTGCAGAAACCTGACTAGATCTGCTCTGCATTTGGTGTGAACAAGGCCTAAAGGAATCACTGCTATCTCTTGGCTCAATGGAATCTTTTTCATTTCGTGAAACCTTAACAAGGAATCTATCCAGTGACACTTGCTGTTGCCTCCTTTTGAGGATTTTGCTAAAGCCTTATTCGGGTGGCGCTTTTCTGCAAAATTTTGCTCTTATTGCAAGACGTCGCTCGTATATCAAGGCAAAATTTTTCAGAAATGTTTGCTTGTCTTGCAAAACACTCTCAAACTAAGTTACTTGTAAACCAAGGTATTAGTGTACAGATATTCTGAACAATGCATTTTACTGAACAAATATGAACTTCATCTACCCCGTGCTGGCTTCTATTTGGGAAAAATCATAGTACAGCAGTAGGAGTCTGCTCCTTTGTTAGTCACCCACAATAGCACCTTGATGTACACTCAGACTACAGGCTACTATGTGAAGAAAATACTGGGGAATTGCAGAAATACTCACTGGTCCAATGAATCCCATTAACCCAGTTCTCGTGAATGGCTGGTTAGAGACAGGATCTCCATTGGAGGTAAGTGGAATTGTCTAAAAGAGACAAACAAAAATGATTTCACTCACTTAGCCACAGCATTCCCTATTTTATCCACCTACCACACCTCTTCTTCATATTACTTGCCTCGAATATATTTTTGGTGATCCCATGGAGTCCATAGAACGCAGTCCCTGAGGAGCTGGAGGACATACACAACTCTCCTACTTCATCTATCTTACATAGATATGGAGTGCCCTCCATCTTCACGGCGCACATGCTGGCTATGGAGGAGAGGCAAAACCGTATTTATTACCAGACTGAAGTATTGCAATCTTTTGAAATACTGCAAAACCTAATGCAATGTGACTGACCATCATTACAGTTAAAGTAATGCTTTTACCTCCAGGCATCACTTGTCCCACATCCTGTACAGTGAGCACAGAAAGCTTCTCCTCTGTGTCTGCTCGAATGACACCATAGCTGAGCCCATTCATTGATAATACTGCCTTTCCAGGAGGAACTCCACCCATATCTGGGGGTCTGAGAACAAAATACAACAAAAGAGGAAGGGAAAGTGATACAGTTCCCAACAAAATGTACTGTTCACTAGCTCCATCTCAGGGTGCATGGTGGACCTGTACTTATTTTCTCTCCTTATCTATTGTTCTAGGGATTCAACATTTCTTTTTCAATTTTCAAATATTTTAAAAATATTTTTTCTTGCTTAACAAAGATTGTATATAGATAGTGAAAGAATAAAATTAAAATAAGCTAAAAGAAATTGACCATTAAATAACCATTATAGCTTATCAAGTGACTTTCATTCCACTTTTGTGGACATATCTGCAAACATCATTCCCACTGGGGCCTACAGCACACCAAGCAGAAGATTCTTCACAGCATAGTTGTCAAGTTTTTAATGGCTGTTGCAGAGTGCAGTGAATCAACCCCTGCACTAAAGTTTTGGTCTGCATCAGCTCTCAGCAGTTTTTCTGTGCAATGTTTTGCCATGCAGACCTTTTGACAGCACTCTGATTGCAGAGCAATATAGGAGGAGGGAGCAATAAAAGAGGGACATGTGGGGCTGCAAAGTACATGTGTGGGATAGAAGAGAGGTGTTTAGCACTATTGCCCGAACCAACACATCTTTATTATTGGCAATCAGGCAAACAATTCAGCCTTACTAGCAGCTGCGTTTGCCCTAGATACGTTTGTCAAGGATGTCCGTGAGGAGTTGGCACTGGTCATATAATTTCTAACATGCCCGATGCTTTTAATGCTGTTCAGCATTAATACTGCAGGCATCTATGAGAAGAAAGCATTAAATTGCATTTACTCTATGGTGTATTTAAAACAATGCAGAATTAATCCTTTCAAAAGGTGGCAAAGTGATCGCCTAAACAGCCAAGCACAGACTAATGCTAGAGGGAGCTGTACCGTTATGCAGGGAACAGCTCCTCCTTCTCTGAAGTAGTCAGTGCCTGGTTATGAGTTGCTAAAAGTGGCCAGCTACTCTTTAGCTTGCAACCAGAAGAATGAGAGCTGTTCAGGGAGCAAGTGAAATAATTGGGGACCTTATATCAGATGACCAGAAGACAGCTTTGGCATTATTCACCTGCGCATGGATACAGTGAGTGCTTCTGATGAGGTGGCACAAGGAGAAATCACTTCAGGCCTCAGACCACGAGACTGGAAGACGTTAAGGAAGGCATCACAAGATGAGATAGACCCTGTAAACACAGACAAGTCTTTATGTAGTATGTTCTTTGTATCGTCCAAAAGCAGTTGTAAACCATGTAGTTATAAGGACTTTGTAGCCCCTCTCTTTAAAATCTTACATGGGTTTGCACCATCAGCCACAATCAACATTCGTAGGGAACCGAGGCTCACATCCCGTTGGTCTCTCTGTGCCAAAAGTGACCAGTGCATGTCTCTAGATTTCACTAGTGCAACACGAGCTGCAGATTAAGACAAAAAGAAGACTCAACACAATGTATACAATCATTAATCAAATGCAATATTCAAAACAATGTAAAGGACCACTATACCTTTAAATAAAAAATGTGCTTTATGTCAAGAGTTACAAAAGACAATCACACCCTGTACAGATATTATATTTGACATTTATATATGTATAACTTCTGTTATATGTCAGACAATAGGCGGCAGCAAAAATAACTTAGTAGTTTTGTTGTAAAGAAAAGAAAGTCCACTATATTTTATATTCACTATACTGCCCTTTCTATATGACCTCAATATTTAATATTTAAATTGTCTCCAGAAACTATTACATATAGACCAAGAGTTGTTAGTTAAAATTATTTTATGTAATGCAGCTTTAAAATTATTCAGTTCAGATTACTTGTCATTTAAATATGTGATCACAATCAATTACCTATCTTTTTAAAACAGACAGACTTATTAATGCATTTCAGGACATAAGTGTTTAAAAAGCATCTATGGAATTGGATGGCTGGTAAAGCAGCCATCCAACAAGAACTCTAAATATGAAATGAGTATAGGAGTGTAAAGGGGTTTGCCACTTTCAGGCTATAATGTAAAAAATGAATCCCGTCTGTACTGACTTGTGACCGCCAGGGGTCTCTCTACCTGACACCTACACCAATCAGCCTTTTGCAGCCTCCCAGCAACAGAGAGGCTACAAAACATTGGGATGCAGCCGCAGCCTCAGTATCCCACTGCTGTCAATATTTTTGATCTGTGCTAGAACGGTGAATAGCTTTGAGCACTGCAGTTAGAGTTGCCTGAAAGGGAAAGGGAGCTGCAAAAAATAAATAAAAATAAAAGGAGAATCAGCAGGGAGCTTCACCCCTACTTGTGGTTAGAATTGCATACAGAAAGGAAGCATGTTCCAGCAGATGCTCTGAAGATAAATCACTTTGGAAAAAAAAAATGGATTGGAGTTACTGATAGATCTGGGTTTATTTGAATATGATAGTAGCTAGCATACTGTATATGGTGATATCTAATAAATGGAAAATCACTTTAAATGAAACATTTGACTGGCCAAGCACTGGAATTAACTGGGAAGTGATAAAAATCCAGTCCCTGTCTAAAAATTACCACACATGTCACAATGGTAACTGTCTTCCATGTGGCGGGACCCACCCAGGTGAACAGTACTAATGAAAGGTCTTGGTTACCAATCCAGGCATTATAGTGCCGCAAAGGGCAAATGAAAGGTGACCAGAAAAGAAGGTGCGCAAAGGAAGAAAAACAAATTATTGCCAGGGGGACATATTTAAGGTGCCTAATAAAATGTCATTAAGAATGCAAGACATGGAGAAATAAGGATACCCAGGGCAAGTAAGCACAGAACAACATTCATACATGTACCTGTGATAAACAACAAATTGTTTTCAGCAAAAACATGCAATAGTCAAATAACTCATTCACCAGACGACATAAAATTTCCAGAAATCACAGATAAATTTACCTTTATAGGCGCTGACCTTTTGAATCCAAGACAATGGATTCACCTTCATCAGTGCATATGGGATGCTAACTACATGCATGCGATTCATAACACTCTGCGAGATATAAAATTCTGATTAGTGATTAAAGGGATTAGTACAAGAACATTACATAATCTATATATCACAGAAAACAGGCACTCACAGTAAGTACTCCATGCCACAGGCCCGCATCTCTCTTAAAGTCCAGGACATTAATCAATGTTTCCGCTAAAAAACAATAAGAAGATCTAGGTCATTCACATCCACTGCATTTTAAATGCCATCCATAATATTAAATTGGATACGTATATACTTTTTATTTCATTCCTTGTTATTGCCTGTTATTTACTTCTTTCACTCATAAATTCAGTTATTATGTAGAGAAGGATCCCTGCCCACCGTGAATCTCAAGTGTTTAGGGACAGAGTTCACCTGCTAGTTTTGTACTGGACACCACCAGAAGCAGCATAAAGGTCCCCACACAGCTTACGATAATCGTACGATAATCGCGGGAAATCCCGCAATCGTACGATTATCGTAAGGTGTGTGGAAGCCGTGCGACCTCTACTACTGTAAGGTCGCACATGTTCGAAAACCCGCCGAGCATCGTACGATGTTCGGCGGGTTTGTGGCATGTCCGTACGATAACAGCCGTACGGGCCGGTGTGCGCAAGCGCACACTGCCCGTTCGGCATTGCGGTCATCGGAAGCCCGCCCCTCAGGGGGCGTGGCTTGCGATAATCGCAAGTACGATCTGCCTATGCAACATAGGCAGATCGTACGTTTTTTTAAGTACCTTACAACCATCGCAAGACAAAAGTCTTGCGATGGTTGTAAGGTGTGTGCCCAGCCTTAGTTGGACTTAATTCTACCAAGAAATAAGAGAACAGCATCCCAATGTTATTTACAGAGTCCTGGGGGTGGGGACTCCTTGTTACAATACGGAGGAGCACCTAACGCAAACAAGCAATTATCATTGTGCTTGAAAACGCTCTTTAAATCCCATATTTGTTTAAGCAACGGCAACAACGAATGTGTTGCTATTGATGTGGAGTGGAGCTACTTTGATAAATCGGGCTAAACACAAAATCTCAGAAAAATGCAGGATCAATCACATAGAGAAACATAGAATTTTAAAGATAACAAGATAAGGCTTTCATAAATGTATCCAATCCGGTGTTTCCTTGAGTACCCCTGCTATTTCTCTACTTTATGGTAATGAGAAACTTTGAATGCCTCCTACCCTGAAAATCTGAATACACAATGAATACACTGCCCTTGAATGCAGTTACTGTGAACCCCTACTCCCTGCTTGAGGCAGATGTTTTTCTGAGGTGTCCAATGACTTAAATGTCCACATATGGAGAAACATGTTAATAGTCTCTGCAAGCTTGCCCAGTTTAGAACATTATGTGGGCGGGCAGTGAGTGTGAGGCGGGAAGGAGGTGCGGCGTGTAGAGCGCGGATGCGGGCGGGTCTGGCAGCGGTGAGCGTGAGTTGGGGAGGAGGTGGACCCGTGAACAGGGCCAACTGATCGGAAGCCGATTAATCGATTATTGAAAAAGTTGACAACTTTTTCAATAATCGATTATAATCGATTATGTCGATTAGTTGTTGCAGCCCTACATTAGTTACCCAAGAAAATGATAAATACAGCAAATACAAATAAGAAACAGTTTAACCAATTTAAAATCATCATATCTGTAATACTTACCTTCTGAGTATCCACAGGCTTGTGTTAGGGCATGGCAATGAGCCAACATGGCTGACTGAGACACAGTGACCCCCATGGTACTGCCCTCTTTGCTGGTTTTGTACTGCACACAAAAAGGAGAAATACAATAATGAAATTACCGTACATAATATATAAATATGATATTAAAACAACATTATTTGGCCAGAAACAGAATTGAGACGTATTACTCTCATTCAGTTCACTGATTTCTACAATGCCACATGATGTCACAAAAACCTTGGAGGCAAACACAAAAATGATCTGTTTTATGTTAACATTTTCACAGTGAATATTGTTTATGTTAATCAGCCATATTAAAGCCAGCAAGCATGAAGCAGGATGGCAAATTGGTCCTTGAGACAGAAGATCCTGACGATCTAGTAGAGCCCACGGAGTGTCTGTCAGGAGTCTAACCAAGTCAGCGTACCACATCTTACTGGACTGTCCCAATGCAGTGAGGATCACCAGAATGCCCTCTATCTTGTTCCTGCGAAGCACACAAGGAAGACCTTTTTCATGGGAAGAAAGGCATAATAAAGGGTTCACTTCCCATGGAGCCATCAGAGCATCCACTACTTCTGCAAGCGGATTCCTGTACCTTTAGACAAACCTGTCTATTTTCTTGTTGAACCTCGAGGTCAGGAGGTCCATGTCTGAAGTCCACCACCTGTGACACAGCTCTAGATGAAGGGAGCACTTCCTTGTGTCCAGGCACTGCCAACTGTTTGAAGTCTGCATTCCAGTCCTCTACACCTGGAATGTACACAACTAAACAGTATTCAATCTACACTCTTGCAGTGGTGAGACTGTTGGATCTTTACTGATGATTGATGTACACCACCACTGTGGTGTTGTCCCAATGAATCCAGATTAGATGACCCTAAGGTAGGATGACCCAATGCTGCAAAGACTGTTAAATCACTCGAAGTGTGAAGGTTGGAGGTAAGAAACCAAGGAGGGGGCAGGAAGCAAAACCATTTGAAGCCCTGAGATCCCACCTCCAGCACCCAAGTGTCTGACATACAAGCTGTGCAAGCATCCACAAAGGTTAACGAATGTCCCTGCACTCTGGGAATTGGGGGTGCACCTTTATGCAGAGGAAGGCTTGTCTAGAGATTTGGTCGATTTCGAGTGCAAGAGGAAAGATGGTGGATGGGGAGCCAAGCTTTGGGAGTCTCAACATAATGGTTGAGGGAGTGGAGAAATAAAAGGAATGATTCTTAACACTTGCAGACTTCAAGGGTCAAGTGCTCGTTTCCATCTAGGGATGAAAATAAAGTTATACTTACCTGAACCTCGCAACCACCTGGCGCCTCTCTTCCCCTCCACTCCAGCAGTTTAAGACCCTGCGAGTCATCAGGTGTATAGGACATGAGGATGCCAAGGGACATTCCACTGCTGCAGATGAGGAGCAGGCAGGCTGCAGGGACCGGTCTAGGAAACCAGCCAGCTGCGAGTTTCCAACCACTGATCAGATGGGCTCTCAATGACAGAGGAGGGGGTAATGTGGAATAAGGGCGCAGAGCAACCTAAGTAATTTAAGTAGCTCCTGGTGCTTGGCCCACCAGCCTACTCACTGAGTCTCTAAACACAGAGCATATGTTAAGGCAATGCTGAACAGTTTTGAAGCTGGAAAGCGCTCCATAGCCAACTTTACCAGAACAGAGTCTGGAAATCACCCTATGCAGAAACTAACATAGCAGCGTCCAAATACAGCACTGCAAAAGCCAGGCTGAGGACAACCGCAGTGGAAAGCTACAAAGAGATGAAGCTCCAGCGGTGATGCAAACAACAGGCTTGATTAAGAAAAAAGACAAAGAAATAAAAATAAAAAAAAGTCTCAACAGTGGGTCTGTGGAAAAGATGTCCATCCTCTTAAGACACTAAAAAAAAAAAAAAAGAAAGAAAAGAGCCATGCTGATAGTGGGAAAACTGGGCTGACCTACAGTTTTTTGTTTGTCAGTGTCCAATATTACTATGGGTGTCAGTATAACCCAAAGGTTTAGGACTTCCTGTGTTCCACAATCGATGAAACAGAAACACAGATAAAATAAATACAAGAAATCTATTTCATCTGCCAAAGGATTATAATTTGTATCCATTCAGTCCTGAAATAAACACAGCTCTAACACACAGCACAGTAAGGACAATGACACCACGTTCTCTGTTACAATTAAGGAATACACTGTTGATACCCCCCTGCCATTTGGACAGTGAACGAACAGCAGGAGACAGATTAAGTCTTTCTCACTATTACTATCAGCATTGTTCTTGTTAGCACATATCTGCATGCATCACCCTTGACTGGTGCCCAGTGTTTACCCTTCTCCGACACAGTTTGGGAGCTAAAATATCGGGGATTATAGGAGGCACAAATCAAATTTGGGTGAATTACATATCCTGATATATTAATGAGAAAAAAGTTGAATTAATATGCCTTATATTTACCTGCAGTTCAGATTTACCCCATCCTTCAATTCTAACTTCACACCAAGACTGCATTTTTACCCTATTGGTACCAATAGGATCTTCCATCAAATCCTTATATTTCCTGCACTAAGCTCTAACAGCGCTGATAACAGATTTACAGCAGTTATCAGGCTGGGAGGGTAGGATGCAGTACTGTAAAACAGTCAGGTTCTACTGAATTGCATGCACTGTTCCGCAAAACTAACACCTGTTGCTTTGCTGACTGGTGGAGTGAGCACCATGTGGTAATACGCCTTTATTTTACAGTCAGCAGTATAAAGTGGGCCCCTAAACAAACCAATGGTTATCAACCTGGCTATGACATTTGGCAGGGGTGCCTGGATCACGAGACTGGCAAACCATAATTACACATCCTCTGACAGTTAAGACAGTGCACATATACAGTACATCTATATATTTAACTATGTACTTTGCCATTTGCTTATAGTTCCACTTTAAGTAGGTATTTGCAGGTATAGTCCTAGATGCTGAGGAGGTGGACATGTTCAATTCAGCCGTTGCTGGTGCCCCACAGGTGAAATATAGATAAGGGCTCAGCTTTGCTACCACCAGGTTGGTACACTAAAGGTATACAGAATAAAAAGGTAAGGGTTAAAATTGCAGCACCATTTGGAGAATTCCACATCGCCCAGATTTCTTTGGAAAGAGGATGACGTCCCCTTTAACTAGGCCTCACCAGTGAAAGCTACGGGAAAGGCGAGCATACTATCCGGCTTTTTTAAAATCCTTTTTACCCACAGTTTAGCAAGGTGGAGGGGGAGGACATACCTAAACAATAGACCTTGCGTTCTAGGCATGTTTAGGCCACTTCAACAAGTAAATAACGATGATCTAGGCATAGCCTCTAAGAACCACATTACATTTTAATAATATACCTCTATATATGCTGCATCATTGCTTGCATCTCTGATATGTGGATGCCAGTCTTTGGGAGGCTTCATTAAGTGCTTTCCATCAATAACAAACCATGCCAGGCGAGGCCAGCCTGCAAGAGATACAATTCTTAAATATAAGATATTTATATATTTTTTAAAAAATATTTATGTTTATAGGTTTATCAAAACCATATCACCGTACTGAAATTTACAAGATGACTTTCCCCTCCCTATTTGCTTTTTCTTCTATTAGATCAATTGTTATTAAATTTAAAGGAATGCACAAACATAAAAACAAGGTTTTGCCTTCTGTCACTGCATGCACAAAACGGCAATGCCACAAATATACATCCAGAGTGACAAGTACAGATAAAGAAGACAGATTTTGATAAATGTACAAAGTACAAGTACAAGTTCAAAGTACAAGGTACATGGATATTGGGGAAGAGAGGGGGGGGCACATCAAACCAATAACTGAACAGAAACAGAGCTGACACCAAAAAAAAAAATGTTGGACACAGATCAAAAAAATTGACCCCAATATGACACACCACAACCCTATCCAGTGACACCCCAAATTAATCCAAATGAGGAGAGAGATAAGCAATCAGAACAGGATGTAAACAGTTGGTAGGTTTAGGGAAGCAACCTGCATAGAAGAAACTCTGCTGAAGCCACTTCTGGCGTAGATAGCCATGCTGACCACAGTTTGTCAACATTTTTTGGAGGGCTACGAAAATTAACGATTAATTCCTCGATTTATCGTTAATTTTTTTGATCCGCCGGCTTCCAGGAGTTCCGTCGGAGATCCGGTGACGTCATGGACATCGACGTCACCGGACTCCCCCCCCCCTCCCCAAGTGGCTCCGTTGGCTAACGAAGGGAAAGGGGAGGAGTCCGGTGACGTCGATGTCCGTGACGGCTAACGAAGGGAAGGAGTCCGGTGACGTCGATGTCCGTGACGTCACCAGACTCCTCCCCACTTCCCTTCGATAGCCGACGGAGCCACTTGGGCCGGTGAGTACTTGTTCTGCACGAGCGCCAGCAAAGGCATTGGCCTATACACATAGAGCACAGCAATGAAGTAATAAAATGAACTAGGATCACACTAATCCAGCACGTTATTATTCTGAGTTGCCCACTCAAGCGGCGGCCATATGGAGTGAGATTAATAACGTGCTGGATTAGTGTGATCCTAGTTCATTTTATTACTTCATTGCTGTGCTGTATGTGTATAGGCCAATGCAGTTGGATCTGTATGTGCGTTATAATTAATCGATAAAATTTTTTTTTCGATTAATCGAACACGAAAATTGTATCCTGGCTGTTATGTCAATTTCTCTAAGCTAATATATGAACTGACTTTTGTCCATCCATTGCTAAAAAGTAGTCCCTAGTTGCTTTTTAAAATGTATCCTTCATGACAACTAGAACCTTGGAAACCATTTGTGCCACAGGTTTCTTTTAATGTGGCTCCCAGTAGCCCACGAGCAGGTACTCTGTGTGCCAGTTTATCTGGAAAGTTCTGCATTACATTGCTAAAATCTGATTAGCTACAGGGACAAACAACTTTGAGTAGAGGTACTGGAAGATATTACAACCCACTAATAACCAACCGGAACATAGTACCAAATATATATCAACTGGTGTAGAGGTATTTAATGCAATTTTTTTCAAGAATTCCTCTTACTTTGTGCCGATATGACGCCCATGTAAAAAATAATGGGTATGGCAGACACCAGGAAAGGAAAGCATGGACAGCAGTAAAATCACACTCAGAAATCCTAAACCATCCACACTCTACTAGAAAAGTCTTTGTTGGAGAGATTTCCAATAATACCCTATCCAAAACAAACAAAATCATTTTTGCTGGAGTTGGACTTTTATTTTGTTTATAGCTTGTGTGACTCCATACTTGTTACAGTTGAATGTGGCTTCTGAGTTGTGAGAAGGTAGGGTATGTGCTTTTTCACACATGTGATAAGGTCATTGATTACCTTTGAATGTCACAACGTCCCCAGTTTGAGCTTTAGGCAGTCCTTTTTGGCAGACATCAGTGGTAAGAGCAAGTGACACCCCACAGCTACCCAAGAGGAATCCGATCTGCTGGCCGCCGGCATCCTGCAGAGGAGCAAGGTGTGGACATTCATTTGCAAGTATACTTACATAATTTGTGTGTTTTATTACTATGAACTGCTAAATATTCCTTATTACCTTCCTAGTCAGTGGCACTTCAATGGGCACAGGAATAAGGTCTGAAAGGAGGCATCCATAAAATGCAACCATAAACATAACAGGATCACTGTTGGGAAATACAAGCGCCACCTGCAAAACATTCACAATAAAAGAATGTAACACTATTCATTTCTCGAATACATCACTTACTTCCAAAATTCTGCACTCTCCTATCCAATCTCTCCAACTACTTGTTGGTTTAGGGCTACCTCCATAAACACCCATATGTTGCACTTGCCAAACGAAACAGGCCCCTATTAACTACAATTCCAAAAGAACATGCGTTGTTAACACTCCAGGAAGGTTAATCCACAATCACCCCTTTAATCATGGCATGTGTGCTGTAACCAAAAAGGGTAAAAGGTTACGTTATCACTTTGGTTATGTTTGTCACATGGGTTACAGCACGTATGCCAGCAATGGGCTATGCTATTTTGATATACATGAACACTATATGATATATGCAAATATTGTAAAGTGAGTGGGATGACCATTTCATATATATTCACTAATAGAATACATTTTCTCCACACAATGCACTGAACCCAATATGTGACATGCTCAGATACTCTTTTGTACAGACATAGCTGGAAACAACTGACAGAGGATAGTGCTTGTATATGCAGCTAAATGAATAAGTATTATATAGGCTAATGAGCCTTAGACTTCCTGTCTAGTAATCACATAAACCAATAGGCAGCTCAGCAAAGTTACATGGATGTCAAATAACTCGGCAGAGTTCTGCAAAGGTGCTGCTACTTTTGCAAAGATAGCCGAGAATGGTATTAGTAGCTCCTTCATGAAAGGCATATACTGTAATGTAATTTCTTGGTTATACAAGTGTTTTCATTCCAAGCATTGTTTATACTTATCTTTAAAGTCTTAGTTCACCTTTTGTGGCATAATTTATGTTTTCCAAATTAGGTAAAGCCTTTGTTATCCTCCTTTGCACCTCAGATCTTGCTAACCCTTAAGACAACACTATGGGGCCAATTTATAAAGTAACAGTATGGCCTTCCTGCAGCTATACCGCTAACTTACAAATGTGCCCTCTCTTTCACTTGCTTCGGGACCCCAAGAGAGCATAGGGGGAAAAAAGCCAAGTAGAGGACCTTTCAAAGTCATGTGACTGGCCTCCTCTCCAATCAGAGACTGTTCTCTGCAATGTGGAGTACATGAGAGTGTCTGTTGGAGAGCAGACAGCATCTAAAGGTGCCATTCAGTGGTCAGCAGAGTAGTAATGAGCATGGATACGCATGAACTTCCTCATGTGTATGTGTTTTTTTCTAAAGTTGGCATCTTGGAACTCAATGATTTTAGTGTGAAGACTGCATCCTTGTGGTATAGAAGCTCCCAGCACAGGATGAGATAGGAGAAGGTTAACCAGTTGACATCCGCGGTGTTAAACCCCCTTCCCATCCAGGCCATTTTTCAGTATTCAGCGCTGCGGTACTTTGACTGACATTTATTCCGTCATGCAGCGCTGTACTGAAATTAATTTTATACCCTTTTTTGGGGACAGATAGAGCTTTCTTTTGGTGGTATTTATTCACCACTGGGGTTTTTATTTTTTTACTATATTAAGGAAAAATCACCGAAATTTAAAAAAAAAAACAGTTTCCCCTATATTAAATGATAAAACATTTATTATTACCCAATTTTTTGGTAAAATATAAGACGGGGTCACGTTGGGTAAAAAGACACCAAACATGTCAAGCCTTAAAATTGCGTGCAAAACCTCAAAAAACGATAATACCCAAAATTGGCCAAAATTGCCGTGAACGAGCACATATAGGCGATCGGCGGGCTATGGACCCGCTGATCGCCTATATGTGAAACACCCGGTACCGGGTGTTCGCATTGGACGGGTCTTTTCTGCCCGTGCGTGCCCGCTAGGGGGCGCGCGCGAGCAGAAAAAAAATGCCGTCTGGCGACGGCAACCCGCCAATGCAGCAGTGCCGTCCGTCCGTTTTTCTACTACGGGCGGACGGCAAGAGGTTAAATATGGAGTGTGTAGTGCAGATTCTATTTTTTCACTCTAGGGAAGCTGCAGATTTCCCATTTATTGTTGGTGTGGGGGACTTACACCAACAACTATCATCACTTAGAAAAAATATATCAGCCACTTTTCTAGGCAGGGTGATCTAAACTCCATTCAAAATGTCCATGCTGTATATTTGTGGTGCAGTTACAGTGTTGAGAAGATCCTTACCCTATCTCCTGGTTTAAGAAGAGATTCGTTCTTGTTGATCAGCTTGTTCATTAAAGTGTAAGCCAGTTTAACACTTCTACTCCATAATTTCCCTAAACACAAAAAAAGAAAAGAATGAAAACACAATATATTTTTGGATACTAGAGAAATATATAAAAAATTAGAATCCATCTAAAAGTCAATCACATGACTACATTTTGGACAGCTTTCGCAATGGAATGTAAGCTCCATCAATGAGCTTCTCTTATTTGTTCCAATTTAGTCTGTTAAACATACAATCGAAAGTAAGGATGCACCGATACTAACACTCGCCCAAATGCTCCGATACCAGGCTGAGGGCCGATCACGTGGGTGCTGTACACACAGGAGACGTGGGCAGATCCCGGAGAGTGGTGTCTGACCAGCTGGCCGAGGGACTGGTACGATAATGAATGCTGCCAAGGATCTATGTAAGGGGAATGAAGTGCCTGCAGGATGGGGGTCGTGTCAGCATATTGTCAGATCTGTTTGGCCGGCCTCGATGCCGATTGGCCAGGGAGCCGGCCCTATGCTACCGGAAGTACCGGCACTCAGTATCGACAAGTACCGAAATATAAATATTGGTGCTCGATACCGAAAAAACGGTATCGGTGCGTCCCTAATCAAAAGTGTTATATATGTTTAATAAGTGCAAAAAATAATAAACCCCTTGATCCTTCCGGAAATCTTGTCAACTGATAACTTCCTATGCTCTCTGCCTGTGCTGCACTCTTATCAGTTACTATGTTCTCTTCCTATGATATGGAGAAGAGGGCGAGGTGTTTCTAGTCCTGTTCAAGGGAGACATCACTGCCCCTCCATAGATATAGCACAGTGAGTGAGCATTGTCACCCTAGGACAGGAAGTGTGTAGTGTACACATATAATACTTTACATTGTTCACTCCTCCCTACTGATCATTATGCAATCAAAATGATGGAGGTCATTCAGACAGGAAACTAAGGTGGAGGAGAGGACTTGCTATAAAAGTGGGAGAAACTAAGGCTGGAGTTTAGCTTTAAATGCAGGACTAGCAGGTAAAGAAAAAACAAAACTCTGAAAATATATAATGCAGCCACCACATGTAAAAGTAGTACTATAGGCCGAGTGTTTTTCTTATCTTAATGCAGTCTCTGCACTAGGGCAAAAAACACCCAGTACTTTTGTAAAACCCCCATATCCCCCCTACACTTACCTGCAGCCTCTTGTTTCCTCCGCGGTGACTGGGAAGGTACTCGGGTTTCCCTGAATTACCTGGTTGTGGAACAGGGTACTCTGAGGGCAGAGGAGTCATAGGCTCCTTCTGGCGCCAGTCAAACTGTGACTGCAAGGATGGGGGCGTGGCCGGCCACACGCTGTGTGTGTCTATGGACGCACATATCTAGGTGGGGGCAAGGCTGTGAGCGTGCACGGAGGAGTGACTCCACAGCAGCTGGGTAGCTGATGGAGGCACCCGTACACATGGGGTGGGGCTAGCGGTTTGGGTACCACTAGAAAACGAGGCAAAAAAATTTAAAGAATTCAAGACTAAGAAGAAACAAAAACCCTTCTTGAAGTAAGGCAACAGTAAATAAAAAAAAGGTTTAATGTCACTGGACGGGTTAGATTGAATATATTACATTTTTGTTCTTATGTTCAGATACCTTTTAAGACACTTACAGAATATACACACATGAAACCAAAATCTTAAAGGCATTTTTCTACATATCTATTTTTCTACCAAAAACTAGAACATTTTACTCTTTCAGGTACCAACTACCATCCTTGAGCCAAGAAAGACTTTCCTTTACGAGAGCCAGAATCTCAAGATCCCACAAAACTTTCATCATCCAAAACAAAAGGTGAGCTTCTTACCATAAGTGAGAGTATATACTGCTTTCCCAGTGGTGTCCAAGGAAGTAAGACATGGGGTTTTGGGCTGAGTAGTCCCCCAGCGATGAAGAGCAGTTAACAACGATGGAGGCCAGTTAGAAACGACTCCCAGGGGTTCACCTTTAAGCAGTGCCATCTCTGCACCTTCAGATTTTGGTTGGTTGGGATCTGGCTGCTGAACTGCACAAAAAAAAAAGTATGAGGGATCAAATTGCTTTACATTTTCTGAACCCACCAGAACTAAATATTTGTCCACCCCCAATACCTTCCAGGAGCTCTTCAAAATCATCCACAAAGAACTCTCTGAGTGGAGGACGCTTTGGCCTTTTTAATGTATTGAGAAGCTGTTGAATTTTAGACGAGACTCTGCTGTTTACTGGCACACCTACATGGGAAGAACAAGGGTGTCAGACCACTGTGTACATCTCAGGTTAGCATGTCTACTCAAAGCGTCTAATAATACTAACGCACCATCTGCTGTTTCTAATATGCTGCTGTTGAACCCCCGTGGCACGCCACGAACAGATGCCACCTGTGGACGCTCATGAAGAGAATTTCCTAGGAGTCCCGTAGTCACGTCAGGTGGAGCAGAAACACTCTCTGGTTATCAGGATGAAGAACATGACACATGGTACTGATCACAGTCTGAAACCTAATGAAGTCACCCAATGAGCAATACCCCTGTCTTGGTCCTTGCCATGACACAATGAAGCCAATTTATAAAAAAAAAAAAAAAAGAAAAAGCAGCCAGTCAGGTTCCAATAACCATTTTAATGGCATGTAGGTGGGTTACTATGGGAAAAGATAATAGTTTTTAAAATGAACCCAGAGAGAAGTAAATACATAAACCCTGATTTTATAGCCGGTCATACAGATTTTACGTACCTGAGAAACAATGTTACCAACCTTAAACAATTCTTACACTGTGCCATGACATGTACCAACTGCTATCTTGACAACTGGCCTTCAGCCTTGTTGGCTTGTATTTTAGTGTTAAATTGCACCGTAACATTTGGCAGCACATGCCCGATACTAACCTATCTGGGCATGTGCCATGAGGTCTGCCAGCATGGTAGCAGCTGCGATGACAGGGCAGCTGTTGGAGGCGGCAGGCTTGGCTCCTGGGTGGGATGAGGTGGAAGATGCTGATGATGAGGTGGAGGAGCCCTGGGTTACTCTGCTAATCCAGGGCTCTACGCTGGAATGACCTTGAAGCGGAGTGGATGTGATGCGTCCCTGACGGAGCAATGAGCCCTCATCCTCCGAAGCTGACGAGGTGTCTGTGAGTAAAATAACCATGACAGCTGAATAACAATGCTTGTGGTACAAATGTCAAAACATTTAGGACCAAACAATCCAAAAAAAGGGGGAGGGATCAAATTTACTGCACATGGGGGTACAACTTCACTACTAAAAGAAACATATCAGGACATAAGATGGTGAGCAGACATGTATCTGCAGTCACTCAGGGATGGAGAATATTATAGTAGAATTACCTGGTGGGGTGTAGGTCTCTAGAGAAGAGTGGACAAGAGCTGAGCGCCTTTTAGAAGGCATAGGCATTTTCCTCTCCTTGTATTTGGCCAAAGCTGCTTGCACGGCTTCTGTGTGAACATCTACACAGGAGAATTAAAATTTGGGGTGAGGAACAACTTAATACAAAACCAATGAAAGCAATATGACTATATTTTGTTAATCTTCAATAATGTCAGGGCTACCCAGTCACTAAGCATGGTATTCCAGCAAGCCCAGCTATGGCTCTCCAAGATTTGCCCATACATTTTAAAAGGGCAGGCCTAAATGCTGTACCCAGTCTTCTCTCCAGAAAAACAGAAGCAGAAAGGGTATACAGCGTTGATTCTGTTCAACACCCAGGCCCACCTAGATATAGATATTACAATGGACCTTGCATTAGATATATTGTTTTCATGTGAAATACTTTTTAGCACAGTAATGTTTAAATCCTACCACCCAGTGATCACAATGCATCCCCCGACAATGCATTCTTCTGCATTACTTTCCTTGGGGACAGAGTCATCTTTGTTCAGGCATTATCCAAGGTCAGCATCTACTAGGATGCTGATTTGGAGATAACACGACAATGTTATCCTGGTGCCTGAAAATGTTTTGGATGGGTGTTTGACACAGATCACCTCTACTGTTGCACCTCATGGCTTGCTACAAAGTTAAAACGTTCTAATATGGTCACGGGGGAGAGAAGACAGCAATGGACAGATGACATTATCACAGCCAAAGTGACTGGAGCCCAAGAACTATTTTTTTTCATGAAAAATTTTGAGAAATTATGTTGTTGCACTTTAATCTGCATGAATAAATTGACACGTCTGACTTGGAAAGCCACTGAAACGTCCACTTTAACCACTGTTTCTATGTGTCTGTGATTTGCGGATCCAAACTTATAGACTGAGTGACCTCACATTTTTGTTTTTCTATGCTTGAAAATCTCTATGATCAATAACAAACATTTCCAATTCACATAAAAGTCACCAGAATTTGTCTTTTCTCATTACACTCAAAGTAGTTTTATCGAATAGGTCATATTGCTTTCAAATATTAGAATGTAAAAGTAATCAAAACAAGCAGTGGAATCAGGTAAAAGAAGTTTGATAGGAGAACCCCAGACATGTGAAGTATCTTCAAGGTAATGAGATATCGCTACAGTAACTCAATTTGGAGAAAAGAAAAACAAACACAGAAAAAAAATGTGATTAAAAATGGAACTTCAGTTTAAACCCGTTAAATACATTCCAGGTGCATGAAAACATAAAGTGTCCAAAGCCTTAGAGAGCAGTATGCTGCAGAAAAAGCCCCCCCACTTTTCCTGCAAAGATCCAACATGCCCCCTGGTGAGTCAGATCTATAGCCCTGCAATCAGGCCCGACAGGTTCAATAAAGAGAACCTGTCACTTCCAATTGCTATCACACAGGAGATTGTTGACTCCTGTGTGATGGCAATAAATTAAGTGGGGAATTTTTTTTTTTATAAATTATAAATTAAAAAAAATAAGAAATAATTAAATAAAAAAATAAGCAGGTGATTGAAAAGTAAAAAATAAGAAACAAATTGTGGAACCTGGCCTTGGGGCGGCAGGCAGAGTAAATCCGGTCCTGCCTGCAATCAGCAAAGCTCAATCTCCTTGCTGACTAGAGCCCCGGCTCTGGCTCATCAGGGGTGTGCGTCAGACCTCTGCATAGAGACTGCTGCTTCCACAGATAGAGCAAGGGTCCTTTTCTGCAGCAAGCTGGCAGTGGATAGTTGTGTTTCCACTGTGGCTGTGGTTGCCTTCTAAAGAAATGCTGTATGACTTTAAAACTGAACTAATCTGTTTTTACACAGATTAAGCCAGCATTTAGAAAGATTAGGACAGTTACCTGTAATAATTCATATGCGATGTCTGCAGGAATTCAGGGGAAGCTGAAAGTTTATTTTGTAGTTAACAAAACTACAGTCAATACACTCTGCACCTCATCTATTCAAAAAACTTTTTTTATCCTTTTCAATGAATACAAGGAGCTCCCTGGTTCAACAATGATGAGAGGAGGGGTGGATGACGTCACAATCTATCCTCCAATCATAGAACGCCTTTTATTATGGTGGCGGAATGGAGGAGGTGCTGGGGAAGCGACTCTCTGTGCTCACGGTATAAGATGGGAAGACACGGTAGCACTGCTAGAAGATCAAAGGAAACACTGTATGTGGCACAAACTACAAATGAAAATGTCAGCATCCCCTGCAACCCTCCAGATGTTATATATGAATAATTACAAGTAACAATGCTGGCCCAATCTAACTTTTAAAAATTGATTTTTCCTAGAGTTATGCTTGAAATACCGTTTGCTTTAATGCACCAGGAATAAGTTTAGCTGGAACTGAAAGTACAGTTGGGCTTTGAACGACAACCTTATTCTATAAGCATGCAAAGATTGAATCTATAAAGAAAGAAAACCAACCAGATCGAAACCGCTCATCCCTTGAACTGGTGGAACGAGACCTCTGCTGCTTGTTGGTGGTTGTCGTAATTTGTGATGAACCCAAGAGTTTAGCTTCTGTTTGTAAAGAAGGATCTACCCCTAGGCAGAAATACAGATATTATACAGGTCAAATTTGTATACATTGGATACCAATCACATGTAAATCTAAAGTTTTACTTCTTCTGTGTGCAGCAATCCAGTTTGTTTTTGTCAAATTAACCCCTGCTGTGTGGCTACCCCCACACTGCAAGGGTTAAGTGGTCATTTTGGTCTAGGAGAGAAAATAAAGAAGATACACTCACCTGATTCTTGGTCCTGCAACAATGACCACTCGCCTCTCTCCCCATCCACTCCAACTGTTTTATGTCCCTCGGTATGCTCACGTCTAATGGACCTGCCTTAGACGTGATGTCAAGGGTCCTTAGACCACCAGAGCCCCCGGGAAAAGAGGCAGTGGGGTCCGCTGAAGCCAGGCCAGGCGGGAACGAGGATCTGGCGAGTATATTTTCTTTATATTTTAACCAGGCCAAAACGAACACTTAACCCTTGCAGTGCCGGAATAATTAGAACAACTGTAGATTAGGATTTGAAATGCAAACAGGAAGTATCCTACCAGCTCAGAGCTTGAGCCTTTTAATCCAGCCGTAGCTATAGTGCACCAAACTAACCTTCTCCCCTTCCTCAGGAATCTGGTGACCTAAACAACATGGGCAACTGCTCCACATTCTGTCTCATCCAGTTTTTATACATTTCCCCCTTTGAATCTGACACGCGATATATCAAGCAGAGAAAGTGGAAGCTAAAAAACAAAATAGAGCCCTGTAACCTCCAGGTGAAGAGCTCTGTAAAATCTAGTTGCAGTAGTTTATAGCAGAACTCAGCAGACTGGGTATATTTTTTCTTAACCCTTGCAGTGAGGTTATACCCCCGCACTGCAAGGGTTAAATCCAATTTTTTTTGTCTAAGTTCAAAAATACCAGGCTCTGACTGCGCTCCCTACTGCCCTTCTCCTCCGCTGCAGCGATAGTATGTCCCTTGGCATCCTATACATTTTGTATAGAACATGATGATTCGGGGGTGTTAGACCGCTGCAGCAGAGGAAAAGCAGGGTGGAAAGAAACCAATCTAAAAGCAATCTAGACAAATAAACAAGCACTTAACCTTTGCAGAGCAGGAGTATAGCCCCACTGTAAGGGTTAAGAAAATTGTACCTAACCTGCTTTAACTAAAACTTTGATCAAATTAGCACTTAGCTGGTTAGTTTCACTTGTTTCATTAACTACTCTAAGAGCCCGTTCACACCAGGGCGGTTGCGGATCAGCGCAGTTAACACGCTGATCTCAAAAGGGATCAGCACTGAAACGCAAATAAAAACACCACAAACCGCGCTGGTTCCACTGAAAGCTGTATGGAAACTGCACTGATCAGCGCGGGAAAAAATAGTGCAGGGCGCAGTTTGGATCGCACAGACCCGTGCGGTCGCATGAACTGTCCCCATAGCAATGTATGGGATCGTTCATATCGGCGAATCCGTGTGGCCGAACCGCCCCAGTGTGAACAGGGTCTTAGTAGAAATATGCGCGGAACCGCTCTAAACATAAAAAACAATTTTAGTGTGCAATTGTACAGACTATTGCACAGGCTGCGCAGAGCTAGTCCAAGTGCGATTTCAGGGGGGGATTCCGCCCCTTCACGGCTATAGTAATAGCCACAAATGAGCGGAACCCGTGCAGTTGTAAAGATTTTTGCATTTTCGTGGCGCGCGGTGTTCCGCATGGAAAGCCACGCAGGAAACGCACACGCTATATGTGAATGGAGGTTTGGAGATAAATATTCAGCAGAGGAATACCCCAAGACTGATCCAGGGAAATTCTAAACACTAAAGTCTTCTTTTTTCCCCTCAGGATATCATTTTGCCATCATAAGTTAAAGAAGATGTTTTGAGCCCTCCAAATATACCTTTTACCTACCCATGATTGCATGATTGAGAAGAGGAACATCTGGTTACAGAGACAACCAGGACAAAATGCTAATACCACTGCATCTCAGCATCTTGGGTAAACCTCATTAATAACAATAAAAGGATCAGTGCAGACCACAACTGTTCTCTAAGCTGGCCGTACACTAGTCGATTTTCGTAGGAATGTTCATTCAAAAAATCTCGTCAACATTCGATAATGCCATTCGGACTTGAATGCCGTTCAACATGTAATTTGATTGTAACATTCGATTTTGCGATACTCTGAGTTTCCACCTTGCGCCTTTGATTTATTTTATTTTTTTTCATCACGTTGAAAACGATTGTCAATTTGACCCCATTAAGTGTTAGATAATTGAACGAACCTTAGCCCTGGTTCACACCTAGGCGTATTGCATATGCGCGTCTGTCGCATATGCCCTCGGAAACGCGCGTTTCCGAGGGCTGCTTGGCTGTATACCAATGGAAACGCGCAACAAAAACGGCCCAAAGTAGTACATGTACCTTTTCAGGCGTGGGCCGTTTTGTAGCGCGTTTAGGGACGGACTGAAATACGCCAAGGTGTGAACCAGACCCATTGAATACTATGGGATTTAGATGTTTGAGCGTTTTGTAGAGTGTTCGTCGAGCGTAGAACGCGCTACAAAACGTTCAGGTGTGAAGGAGGGCTTATTGTGGTCATGTAGAGCAGCAGAGGATGTAAATGTGTGCATATTTTCTTGACTCGCATTGCTGGCTTTTTTCATTTTTTTTAATGAAGTTTTTATTAGGCCTGAATTCTAGAATTTCAACATTAATTCCAGCTGCCCCCCTCCCTGTGATTCTGTGTAACACCATCACTAAACACCAGCTCCGCCTTTACACACAATACACTGTCCAGGGGGTGTGCCACTATGAATACTAATAAATGGGGGGGGGGGGGGGAGGGGGGATGTAGGGGGCAGAGTTG